CGTTCTTGATTACTAATTAAATTTATTATCTCTTTTGGGATTACAAGAATTTCACATTTTTCGTTTTATTATCTCTTTTAGGAATATAACTTATTATCTCTTTTGGGTTTACTCAGTTTATTATCTCTTTTGGGGCCAAGCGATTTATTTACTATACTCACAATTAAATTTGATAATATATCCATTTAAATCAGAAAGAGATTATTTATTCTTTTCTTTACTGTTGTTGATTATCAAACTTCAAAAACAATGTTTATGTAATAATCAGTTATCAATCATTGGAGTTCCTGAATCATTCATTTGATTTAGTCTACTATGTCTGAATAAATTCTTTCGTGCCAACAATCTGTTCTCATTTCTGTTGAATGTAGAATTAGATGGTAGTGACCATGGTTCAATATCACTATTTGATAAAGGAGATCTTGTGAAATAGCACAACTTAAAAGATTCATAGTATCTTGCTCTTAATATTTTTATTTGATTTTTTTGTTGAATACAGTCAACCATATACCATAGTTATCATCCATATATTTATGAAAACGAATTTTTCTTTAGCAACAAACTATTCAACGTTTATGTTATCTTCGTCAACAACAATTAGAAAAAGTTGAAGAAATGATAAAGTTAGAAGTACGAATTCTTTGTAGAATCTTACCTAAATCTATGAATGAATTAGACCAATTAATTCTATCTAATCAATTACCCCCATGTAATACAAATTCTCCCAACGACAACAGCAATTTCCTTTATGAAATGATCAAGAGACATCAAAAATGGATACAGGATTATAAACGTCAAATTCTTGCTAAAAATTTGGAAGAATATGAATCGGCCATCAAAATGAATTTTTATATCAAGAAGAATTATTCAATTTTGAATTTCAATTATCTAATGAAGAAAATGATCAAAACCAGTAATAATTTGATGAATTGCCTCTATAATTATTTAAATTGTCAAACGATGAATAAAATACGTGAAATACGTTTTAATGAAACTATTTTTCGTTATAAATTATTACATCCTTGTCATCGTCGATCATCACTGACAAGTTATAATAATACAATTAGTATTTATCCAGAAGCTATTATTGAAATATTCGAAAAACTATTTACTAAGAAAGAATTAGATTTACTTTCATTATTAGGTACTAATGATCGTTGTTTTTTCTATGGATTTATATCTTTCTGTTTTTTTTAGCATTCTATATCTTTTTATTTTGTTGTTCAGGAAGACCCAATTATATTAGACTTAATCAAATTTCTGTTAAGAAAAAGAAAAATATTCAACATCAACATAGCACAATTATGGATAAACTTGCCTCTGATCTTTATCGTCATCATGGTTTACCAACAAGAGTATCCATTCTGAAAAAATTTAGTGATCAACTTGAAGTAATTTTTAATCAATAATTTTCGACACCATTATCCTATCATGATATACGTCGTACACAAAAAGATCTAAAAACAATTTTATCAAATTAACGTAAATTAAAAAAATACCATTAACTATTCGTGAATCAGATAAAAGCGGTATTATACATATTGGTTATAAGAGTCATTATGATAAAAAAGTTTTATTATATCAAGAAAAAACAAATGCATATGCAGAATTATCTTCAAATTCGTTAACTGATACATTTTATATTTAGGCTGCTGTAGCTTTGTACTTAGATTCTCTGGCAGTTGTAATTTTATAAAAACGTCTTCCGTGGGCGGCGAGAGCTCGCAAAATTTTGGACTTTTTCCACTTTTAACCATGTCGGACTTAA